GAGAGATTGTGTCACTATGCAGACCCGTATAATCCCCCCAGCTAGTTTATTTTCTATTCAATAGTTGTGTTTATTTTCAGTGTCACCTGCTGTATTGTGTTTTCTACCCATCAGTCTTCCTGCTGTTCCATCCCACTCATGTTATCCTGCTGTCTCATTCTTTCTCACACCTACACATTTTTTTTCCTTCAGTTGATCCGTAAAAATCTATAAGCCTTTACCTTATTCCCCTTTCTTTTTCCATCTTGCATGGCTAATTCAGTAACATTCTACTGCTGTTTCTTCATACTGTTTTCGTCCTTTCCTGCAACTATTGTAACACAGTGATGTCACAAACCTAGCTCTGGGATTACACCTGATAAATTCCATTCTTTGATTCTACCACTATTAAAAAGGCAAGCATTACTGATGATGCTCTTAATAAATTTGAACAAAAAAGCAGTGCCTCCACTAAGCTGTGATACATTTTTGGAATTATTCTCTCAGAGGTATATAGTCCGGTACAGTTACATTTTCAGTTTCTTCATATTTATTTATTTTTATTCTGCTTTCTGTTACTCAAACTACCATTTGTTGACCTTCTAAAAATAAATATTATATTAATTAGATTCTTAATTGTTTAATTCCACAAATTCTATTCTATGTTTTAGTTATTATATAGTTTGTTGCCTGATATTACTATTGCATGTCATGCTCTCTGGTGTATTTAGCTGAGTTTTCTTGGCTCCCTACTTTTCTTTGTGATGCTACTATTTGAATTTCCAAGTCATTTTCTGTTTTGTCATGTCCTGCTTTAATTAATGAAAACTGAAAAACAAATAAAGCTATTTACAATGGTAAGTGTATAATGTGGAATGTATTTGAGGCCCCCTTGTATACGTTTATTGTAGCTGTAAAAATAATTCATACAAATCACTAGACTACACAAATTGTTGTCATGTTATGTTAACTTTTCAGTATGAGCATGTGATAAAACTTGGCCAATATTCCAAAGGTTTTTGTGAGTACAGAATTTAAAATGACCTTAAAGGATTACTCTAAGCACCATAATCACTTAAGTGAATTGATCACCGGTAGCGTCATAGAGTTTCCGGATGACTAATGTCAATGCTGTGCGACTTTCATTGCACAGAATGACAGTCGTTGAATGAGAGTGGTCAGCTGATGTCTCAGCCTATGAATGTTGACCATGGGGTCTTACGGGTTTAGCAGCTCTGCAGAAACTGGAAAGGTGTCACTGGGCCACAAGAGCGCATTGGAACCTAGTGGGAACCTAGGTATAGTGGCAAACCGTTACTAAACATTTTGACCCATTACTGGGGAACAGCAGGTTCAGTGATTATTATGCTTGGAGTAACCCTTTAAAGGAATTATCTAAGCAACATAATTAAAGTGACACTATAGTCACCAAAACAACTTTAGCTTAATAAAGCTTTATTGGTGTATAGATGATATCCCTGCAGTCTCCCTGTTCAATTCTCTTCCATTCAGGAGTTAAATCACTTTGTTTATGCAGCCCTAGTCACACCTCCCTGCATGTGACTTGCACAGCCTTCCTAAATACTTCCTGTAAAGAGTCATCTAATGTTTACACTTCCTTTTATTACACATTCTGTTTAGTTCTGAATTTCTTATCTCCTGCTCTGTTAATAGATTGATAGACCAAGCAGGAGCCTCCTGTGTGTAATTAAAGTTCAATTTACAGAGCAAGAGATAAAAACGTTTAAAGTAAGTTACATCTTATTGAAAATTAAACCATTATTTCATTCAGGCTGTGTGAGTCACCACCAGAGGTGTGGCTAGGGCTGCATAGACAGAAACAAAAGTGATTTAACGCCTAAATGGCAGTTAAAGGACCACTATAGTGCCAGGAAAACATACTCGTTTTCCTGGCACTATAGTGCCCTGAGGGTGCCCCCACCCTCAGGGTCCCCCTCCCGCCCGGCTCTGGGGAGAGGAAAGGGTTAAAACTTACCTTTTTTCCAGCGCCGGGCGGGGAGCTCTCCTCCTCCGATCCTCCCTTTCGGCTGAATGCGCACGCGCGGCAAGAGCTGCGCGCGCATTCAGCCGGTCTCATAGGAAAGCATTTACAATGCTTTCCTATGGACGCTGGCGTGCTCTCACTGTGAAAAATCACAGTGAGAAGCACGCAAGCGCCTCTAGTGGCTGTCAATGAGAC